ATCATATTAATAATGATAATATATAGATTGAGCCAAGCCTAAAAACGGAGCTCTCAAGTTTGTAATACTAATGATAACATAAAGATGTGCATTTGCCATGACTCGCCTGAGACACCCCTCCCTTCGTTTTGATAGCCTCCCCTACCCTACCATGCAATCTGAAGATGCGTACGTTCAGTCAGTCACGTGACAACCAAATGAAAAGAGGTGTGCCATATTCCATGGGTATGGGGCTCTATCAAGTTATTAGCCCCGCTAATAACTTGATAGTAATGATAAAAATAATAATAACAACAATAAACGCGTTCCAAACTAAAATGTGGCGTTCCGATTTGGAAAAATTCCGAGTAAATAAAGTTATAAGCTCTGAAAATGATTTATTTCTCCCGTCAAATTATCCTCACAAGTCGGAAAATCCCTTTTGAGTGTCGAAGTATCCCAAGTTTGTTCGGAAAAGTGTCGAAAATAGGCCCATGATAAAATGGGCAATTTCTGCGGAATGGGAAAATCAGCACTTTCTTGGGGAAATAGTTTTGAATGTTTACTCTGAATGTTAAAATAATGTAAAATTGACAAGAACGATTTCTCAAATTGTTCGGAGGTATAAAATTTTTCCGAGGAAATTGTGAAAGTACTGCTTTATACAAAAACCCTACAAGGAAATTCAGAAGTTCTGATCCCCTTAAAACGAAGTGAAGAAATTTAGAAAGTCTGATCCCCATAAAGAACCTAGAAGGGAATTTAGAAATTCTGATCCCCATAAAGAACCTAGAAGGGATTTCACAAATTCTGATCCCCATAAAGAACCTTGAAAAGAATTAAGAAATTCTGATCCCCATGAAGAACCCAAAACGGAATTCAGAAATTCTGATCACCATGAAGAACCTTGAAAAGAATTCAGAAATTCTGATCCCCATAAAAAAAAACCTAGAAAGGAATTCAGAAATTCTGGTCCCCATAAAGAACCCAGAAGGGAATTCAGAAATTCTGATCCCCATAAAGAACCCAGAGGGGAATTCAGAAATTCTGATCCCCACAAAGAACCTAGAAGGGAATTCAAATTCAGAAATTCTGATCCCCATAAAGAACCTTGAGAAGAATTCAGAAATTCTGATCCCCATAAAGAACCTTGAAAATAATTCAGAAATTCTGATCCCTATAAAGAACCCAAAAGGGAATTCAGAAAATCTGATCCCCATACAGAACTTAGAAGGGAATTCAGAAATTTTGATCCTCATAAAGAACCCAGAAGAGAATTCAGAAATTCTGATCCCCATAAAGAACCTCGCTTATGATATTTGTCATCAGCGAAAATATAGCGCGTGTGGATCGTCGAAAGTTATGTCATGAACATTGTTGCATGCGATAGTTGCAACCAAAACATTGTATTGTCTAAATCAGCCTTAAGATATGTAGTTTTCATCTTATGAAAAATAAAGAAATTTATTATTATTAGAGAGGGAGTACATTATACCTGCACAGCGCAATATGATGGATGCGTGCACTGCCAACAATCATTATTAATAAAAATTATGTATTATCATCAAGGAGACAGTGAATTAAGTTTACTCTAGTTTACTCTTAATAGTTTGTTGGTCTATATGACTGCATTGGCTTAATACCTAATGCCTGTACATAATGAGATGAGTTATCTTTATTTTAATGAGTTATCTTTATTTTATTTTTATTATTACTTACTCAATTTGAATTTATCCAACAGGATTTAATCAAAGAAGTCAGCAAAATTGTTGATCTGGTTGTAAAGATCAACTTTTCAAGGTTAATGACTATATTCAACCTGGTGATCATATGCCCGACTAATGCCACCCACAAGGTTGTGGGAACTCTTAAAACAATCTTGGAATTCCTAGGAATTACTGGGAATAAGAGGTGTGAATCTTCACGGTAAATTCGGACCAGGAATTCCTAGGAATTCCTAGGGATTCCCAAAAAACCTAGGAATTCCCCCCCAAAAAAATAGAAATTCCCAAAAAAACCTAGAAATTCCCCAAAAACCTAGAAATTCCGAAAAATTCCACATTCGTAGCCAACAGGACTTAGAATTCCGAGGAATTCCTGGGAATTCTTAGGAATTCTAACTCAGAGCACCAATGACTTCCCTGAAATACTGTGAATCTAAAAACTTGCTGGAAATTCCAAGGAATTTTTAGGAATTTCTAGGGATGTTTAAGAATTACTAGGAACTTTGGGAATACTTTAAGGCAACTAATATCAAATAAATACATGCATTAACTCCCAACTATAAATTCAAGTAGTCAATGAAATTTATTTACATGCTTAACTCAGGTTTACCACAGGGAGCCAGACAAGCGACGAGTCTGGTTGTTTGTTCGAAATATAAAGGAATGTATGGGAGAATATTGAAGAGTCTTATTATCGTAGACTTATATCATGAAATTTCTGAGTATAAGCTCAAAATAAACGTAAACCTACCCCAGTTGTTGTGTATTGTCGTTTCTGGGGCTCTAAATGGCGAATTTGAGCAATTTGGTGGGTTTCGTGTCGACTGTTACTATACGTCATAAGAAGGAGACATCAAAATGTAGTTATATTAGGATGAGATTTCTTATTCTTTTCTTGAAAATTTCGTAAAAATTATCCTCGACTACAGCTATTCATTTAAAATAGTCCCAGTGAATCAGTAAATTTGGTTTGACACAAATTGTGATTAAAATCTGTTGATTCTTTTTCATGAAATGCAATAACTTGGGTCATGTTTATTGCAATATCAAAAATCAATCAAAAATAGTCTTGAAAGGAATCATTTAATTTGGGATGATGATACAAATAACATTTTATCCTTTCCTCCCTGAGTCAGGCTTTGACTTAATTTAATGTGGTTGTAACTTCTTTGGATAAAACTCTTGTGTGTTAAAATTCAAATGTAAGCTGTCAAGCAGCATCTTCATGCTATGTTGTTTGTTTTTGTTGATTCTTCAAGTTGAAATTGAGAGATTCCTTCTCAATTTTGACTGAACACCCTTGGGAGTGAAGGGCTTAATTACAGTTAAATAACTGATTTTTTTAAAATTAAATTCTAGTTGTAACTGTAATAATTAATTGGATGAAGTTATCCCAAACTGCAGACTAAACAGCTGTTTGTCTTTTTCTGCTGGGCTCGCAGCTTACCAAACGCGACTCAAATAACCCTGAAACCTTTAGCCCACTGACATATTTATTTCATTGTAAAGTGTAAGCTTAAGAAACTGTGGCATGCAAGTGACCGATTCGATTCTCAGGTTTGATCACGTACCAAATATAGCAATTTGTACTCACCACAAACTTTCAGAAGCTGTAGCTTAATAAATGGCCGCTCGACTATGGTTAGCCAAATCTTGCAAAATTCAACAACTTGCATATTTATATTCAACAACTTATATTTATGCCCAACAAAATATATTTTTATTCAACAGTTTACAGTTATATTCAACATTTCATATTGATGTTCAACGACACGCATTTTCTTTTCATATTCAACCGAAATTATTTTCATTCAACAACAATATTTATTCAACTTCAGTAACTATATATTTTACTTGACAAAATTAATTGTTCAACGTCAGTCCAAACTTTTACTCAGCAAAAACAATTATTCAACTTCTACCATGCATAGTTATTTAATGACATACCTTCTATTTTGACTAAGCGCTCGAAAGTTCCCGGACATTTAAAATATCGTCATTCAACAAAAATCCCCGCCCCTATCCCCGAACTACCCCCAAACATGGAACCCATTCCCGTCCAATACGAAGATTATGGACTGGAACCCGATCACTCAATTCGCGCCAAAAATCAAAATGGTAGCCATAACACTGAACGAAGATTCATTCTTCAATTGCTTTGAAGATGTTATGAGCTTGTTAAATGTTTGTAAAGAGGGAGAAGACAGTATTTTCCGACTATTTATATATATATATATTCCCTTAGCTCCGGTTGGAGCATAGGCCATTAACCACTTCCGTCCTCCATCGGGTTCTGTCCTGGGCAAATCTTCCTAAAGTGGCCCAAGTGTGGCCCCAGTTTCTCATTTGGGACTCTACACCTCTTCTCCAGGAGTTCCTGGGACGACCCCTCTTTCTCTTGCCCTGAGGGTTCCAACGTAGTGCCTGCCGGGTGATGTTGTTAGCCGGTTTCCTTAGGATGTGACCTATCCATCTCCACTTTCTCTTTGAGATCTGAGTTATGATTGGTTCCTCGCCTGCTAATTCCCACANGTGTTGTTTTTGTTTTTTCAACACAATTGAAAATGACAGTAATATATATGACGCGGCCATTCTCTTCTTTAATGACCAATGTAATGATATATGGTTGACCCTGCTTTTAAGACGACATCACTCTTCACGTGTTCAAGGAAAGAGTCAGGAGGTGTACTACCTTGAACAACAGTTAACCAAATCACACAAAACTTTATAAAGTATATCAACTACATAATACTTGATTTGGAACTAATGGGCGTTTAACTTTTTAAGCGAATACTTTTTCAAGTACCACTTAAAAAAAATTTGTACACCAAAATTATGAAATAAGAAACACTGCTCACCGTTCTCATTTAGGAGCTATATCCAATCGTACCTCTTTATTTGGTTCATTAATTGCAAAACAATACCATGTTCTTTCTGGTAATGCACGCGAGCTTATTCGCTCGATTACATGTTTTGCTCTTGTGCTGTTTCTGCTTTTTTTTTTTTTAATGCGGGGTACAGGGTACGCAATGACACTGACAAACCACCTTCAACATTTTCAATTTATCACCACGCAATTTCCTAGTAGTTAAGTCGAGGCAAAAACAACTTAATCATGGTGAATCTGTTGTACTTAGCTATAAAAGTTCAGGGCATCCAAATGTTTGCGATTCTAAACAAATTCAGCCATTCCTTAAAAAAAAGTTTTAGTCCAAATCTTTTGTGGCCAGGTTTCCCTTTTTATCTATCCTTATCGTGTAAGGCGGCACTATCACGCTATGAAAGAAACAACGAGAACGAAACAGAAATACCTCACTATTTCTTACGACATTTTGCTTAATAGCAAAAACAACTGAAAAGCCAAACAAAATTTGACCATCAAATTTTCACTTAACTCTACATTACAAATATAATTTTATGCTTCTAACGTACCTCTCCTCCTCCTTCTTTGTTGACATCAGCTCCGTTCTCTATAAGCAACCTAACCATATCCGTGTGACCATTCTGTGCTGCTGCAGTGAGTGGAGTTTCCTTCAAAATGTAGGAAAGAAAAAAATAAGAGAAGGTACACTTAATTATATATAAAGCTCATATTCCCTTCCGTAATGACCAAGGTCAGGATATATGCTTGAATCTGCGTTTGAGACGAGTACACTCCGTAGGTGCTTCTTAAGCATAAGTTCAGAAGGTGTTTTTCCTTATATATGCAAGGTCATTCGCTTGATTATGTGTTGTTGGTGTTGTCGTTGTTTTTTTTTTTTATTGCGAGGTTAAAGATGGGCAATGACACTGAGAAATCACCGTAAACATTTTCAACACATAATCACGCTAAACTCTACCATACAAAGATAATGTTATGCTTGTGACGTACCTCTCCTTCTTTGTTGACATCAGCTCCGTTCTTTATGAGCAACCTCGCAACACGAGTGTCACCATTGCTTGCAGCGTGAGCGAGCTGTATGTCCACATAAAGCTAGAAAACAGAATACACAGTTGAAAAGCACAGTAATATATGAAGCGGCCATTCTCTTCTTTAATGACCAATGTAATGATATATGGTTGACTCTGCTTTTAAGACGACAACACTCTTCAGGTGTTCAAGCAAAGGGTCAGGAGGTGCACTACCTTGAACAACAGTTAACCAAATCACACAAAACTATATAAAGTATATAAACTACATACTAGTCGATTTGAAGCTAATGGGCGTTTAACTTTTTAAGAGAGGACTTTTTCAAGTTGCACTTAACAAAAATTTGATATACGATGAATATATGAAGTTCATATATTTTGAACTGCAGTTATAGATACGTATGATGCTCGATCCTCGCAGTAGAGAGCGCTATTTATACAATAGCGAAAATCAGACCTGAAAAAAATAAGGCCTGTACGGGATTCGAACCACTGACCTCTGCGATACTAGTGCAGCGCTCTACCAATAGTCCTTTTTACAGTTCCCGGCGCCATATTGAATGTGTAACCGCGCAAACATGATAGCGAGGTTAGTGTTGAGTCGCGTTGCGAGTTCTAGTGAGAGTTTAGTGAAATGTGGTGGTGCTCTGTCCTTTTCATCGAGATATTTCGACAATGAACGATACTTTCCCTACGCAGGATATTCCTCCTTCTTCTTCGAAA